CACATGATCTGCAATCCATTTCCCCCATACATAATTCTAAGGTATTCCAGGATTTTCTGTGTCTTGGTGATTTTACTAGAACTCGTGAGGAAAAAGCTATACATGCTTCTACCTGTCCTGCTCAGCTTAGTACCTGGGTACTTCATAATGCCTGTCGCCAGTGGACTTTGAAACACTTGCTTATTGGTAAATTGCTCTAACAGACCATTGCCTCTAGCACAAGCCGCCAAGAGAATAGAACATCATTGTCAAGCACATTCTCAGAATTTGAACATCTTTACACACATTTATTCTTCTTTAATCGTTATTGCAGTGGCAAAAAAAAAAGACATTAAAATAAATGCCAAATGACACCAAAAAAAATGTCACTACAAAATAAAAAGTGTTTGCCTGGATTTAGCTGTCCTTCTGGAGAGGCAAAGATCATTCTTAATTCTGCATCCTATATGCCAGTACAGTATGGATTTAGGTTATCTCACATGCCATTAGATAAATATGTGGGCAGGTGAGTAGTTCTAAGCCCCTGGTGTAGCAAAATTATTTTATTTTTTAAAATAGGAAATCAGTCTCTTCCCCAGCATGTATAAAATATTACCCAAAAGAAAGATATGCAGTCATGCTTTTGTATCATAATATGTGATGCCACTGAAAGTTCAAGAGAAGCCCGTGTACTCTGTTGAGTTACCAAATTATGTGCCTTCCGCTTGTAAGTTATTCCTTGAGTCTGAACTGCTGTTTTTAGGAACTGAATAGTCCTGTACTTTCTAGTTGTCTAAAATCCATTACTAAAGTCTCTCTGGCTCAGGATTCCCTACTAGGGACCCATCTAATGACAGTCACATAAGGAAGTAACTGACATTTTCAAATGCTGAAGGTGGGGTCAAAGATCTTACACTACTGTTGGAAAAGGGCCTTATGTTCTTGTTTTCTGTTTCCTAAAACTCAAGAGGTCTGATTTTATATTATTTGAGATAATTGAACTTTTGCTTGTTATTTTCTACTTCAAAATAATGACTTTCTTCCTAGTCTTAAATCTAGAATTCTAAAGTCATTGCTCTCTGTCTGAATTATTATTCTGTTTATGTTCATTATAATTATTTGACCTGGGGCCATTCATAAAACTGAAAATCGGGAGTGATTTGTTTTCCAGAAAAGGTATTTGATACCTTTTGAAATTTCTTTATCTGTTTAATACTAGCTTTAAAACAGTGCTCGATCTTGTTACTGCTTCCTAGATTACATGATTTCCTGCATCCACACAACTTGATATAAAATCCCATGCTTTTTTTTTATACAGATTTTGTTAAAATATCTATATAGTCAAGCTAGCAACAATTTAATCTGTAGCAATGTAATCTTTAATTATATTAAGCTATATTAGAAAACTTAAGTTAGGTCTAATATACCCAAAGGAAGTTCTGTTTTCTGGCAGATGTTTAGTACATAAGCAAAATATATATTTGCTCAATAATGCTCAATACTTGGAAGCATCCCAGTCTTATTTCAGTTTGTGTGACAACTAGGGTTTAGATGGAAACTCAGAGGGGCATCCAATCTGCTTTAATAAAATTCATTTTAAAAATTCTCTGGGGTGCGTGTTGGCAGAGCCTTTGTTGATTAATGAAGATGACTCATTGGTTTTAAGTTTCACAGACTCCCTTGACTATGCCTAAACTTTATAGGGAGTTCTTTTCAGATATGACACTTAGTAATTTAGTTGAGTCGTCAGTGCCTTCCTGGTATTCTTTCAATATGGTGTAATAGTCAATGAAATTACGTTGGCAGATGCTGAAAAAAAATAGTAATATGTGTACAGAAGCCCTTTTGGACAAAATAAATTTACCTGTTTGTATGGTTCATGCAGTTTTTATTCTATAATCGCTCTTGAAAGTTCCTTGTAAGCAGTTCATGACAGTGACTAGAGACTGAAACAAATTATTTTTCTACTTCTATTATGTAGCTCAAGAAAGTACATTTGAATAGTAAAGAAGAACTTGGTACATGTAATCTATTGAGCTTTTTGAAAAGTGGCTCTGCTATAAAAGATACATTGCCTGCTTCAAATCAACTTCAACTATGTCAAAATTGTACGTCAAACCGTATTTATCATCTTGAAATCTTTTCTGATTTATGACTTAGCAGCCACACTGGTCTTCCAAGAAAAATGCCAAAGACTCTAGCTTTACTGTTTCCCTAATTTTTAAGATCTATCTCCTACCTTGGTCATATCACCATATGCCAATAATACAGCATCTGCTACAAGTGCTTGTACAGTGTTTGAATGTCTTGAAAACTATGTCTTCTGCGTCAGGCAGCTAAATCACTGTGTGCTTCATAGTGCTGCCATCTGAGATCAAATTCTGTATCACTGCAGCCTTTCTGCGCTTCACAAGCATGACCCCTGCTATGTGAGGAATTCTGAGTTTCCTCTTCCTTTAGAGGAAAAGAGGCCCTACCTAAGCAAGTTTTCTTGTCAAAGTTTCCATGGTTTCTCACATAAGAAAAAGATCGTCGTTTTCAGGATGAAGTGAAATCTGAATCCACTCCGTAGTGGAAAAATCTATCTGTACATAGATTTCTACATGTACAGATGTATAGATACATCTATCTGTATTCCTACCCAAGTCTTTGACTTTGGCTTTGTTTTGTTTTATTTATTTATTTATGGATTATAAGGATAGTAAACGTGCATCAGTGTAATAAACTGAGTAACTAATGAATTTCTTTTATCTACTCTGCATGGATTTATCTATCTTCTAACCTTGCAACTAGCAGTCATGAAGGACTGTTGTTTTATTTGCTTATGCATGAAGCAGATTTTACATTCCTGTATGCGCATGAAGCAGATTTTACATTCCTGTATGCAAAACTAGTAATTTGCTTCTTGTGCCTAAAAAAATAGTGTGCTCATGTTATCTTTGATTTATTTGTCTTACCCCTCTCCACAGTCTTACAACATACTTTTGATAAATAAAGATTGGTTTATACCTATCTAACACTTCACTTAGGAAATATTCTAAGAGATTATTTTGCACTCACAGAGTGGTTCAGCTCATTTTGGACCTTGGATAAGTCTCTTCATTTCTGCATTCTCTATCTGCAAAATACAAATAAACAGAAAGTATTGCATTTAACTGGTAAAATGCTTTGAACTTCTCAGGAAGAATGTGTTATAAAACTGTGTAAGCATTCCTTCTTCTGTGAACAATAAATCAGCAAATGCCACCAAGCCAGGTGCTGTGTATACTCTTTGGGAAGCCTTTCAGAATCCCCCCATTTACGCTCTATTGTGTGTCAAGAAATGTGCTTTATATGACCAACTCATCTGGATTAGGCAATTGGGATGCATCTCTCTCCATTGCCTTTTAATGGTATTTCTGCAAGGAAGTGTATGATAATTTTTCTTCCTAAGGGAGGCCAATGTGCTATTTCTACCAAAGTCTCTTTCTGTCACAACTCAGATTTTCTATGTAGCTGATTTCAGGTGATGTTATTTTTGGAATAACTAGTAGTTCTTAAGATTACTATAACTTTGAGGGGTTTAAAATCTGTTCTTAACATGTCATTGATATTCTAACACTGAAGTCGCTCATAATCTTTGTGGAAGCCTTTCACAGCTGGCTGGTTGAGATAGTGAGCAGAAAGTATTCTTATTCAGAATGTGAATGATGGTAAAGCAAAACTGGTCTTAACCGTGGTATGTTTTCTTGTATGTAGAGTAAGAAGGTTGGGAGGTTTATTAGCGTTGGAAGGTCAGGGAGAATTTATAAACGCAAGTATTTTGATGGGTTTGTCTCCCTGTTATGCGATCTGGAAAAATCTGAATATTAAGAGATTCTTTTCTATGTTTTTCTTCAAATTCTGTGGGATAGTATTTTCATCCAGAATAGCTGGGATTCCATTTTGGCTTTGTTTTATCCAGAGAACCATTTTTAGTGGCTGTATTTCTTACTCCAGGTTTTACTTGGTAAGTGAAAATTCCTAAGAAGCTGGACAAGAAACTATGAAAGCTGAATGCTAACAGGGTTGTTTGCATCAGACAAGACACAATTTCAGTGAGATGCAGTGTTCACCTACATTGTCTGAATGTTAGCAGGCAAAATTGACACCATATGTGCCCAACTGTAATTGCTCCGAGAGGGGAAAGGAGAAACATGTTAGAGCACTTGAGTAACATCTAATTCAGTCCATGGTTATAAATAAAGCTGATGGTTGCTTAAAAACAAAAGTAGGAAAAAATTGTGGTTATATTATCCCTCAACAGCACTTCCTACATAGGTGAACTTTATGACAGAGACAACACAAGTGAAAAGAAACATAGAACAACTTTTTTTGTTATTTTTATGTTATTTTATTTTTTCACAGTAAATAAAGTGGTCATGAGGCTCCAAGGAAAATGGCCCAGATGGTAGTGAGTTGTATGAAATTTAGTGGAAACAAGCTGTAAAAAACATAGTCATAAAACAGCCTGTCAATGCCACACATCTGGACAATGCAGCTGTATGTTTCCGTTGCTGTCATCACCCTAAGAAAACTCAATAGCCTTATTTCACCCCGATTAGGCTGCATACCAGCAGAATCAGCAGTACACAGGGAGGGGATGCCTTTACACCAAGACAGACTTTGCAAGTTCCCCTTACGAAGTTTGTATCTTTCATTCATGGCTAATGCCTCAGCCACTAGCTACTTTGTAAATAGTGCTCCAAGCTATTCCTGATTATTTTTTATTTGTTAAATGCTTTTAAATTTACAATTATAATAGGTAGTGGCATGCTATTACTATGCTTACAAAAAAAAATCTTTACTTTCTTTTACAGTGAACATTGTGTATCTGTTGACCTTTACATTAATTATATAAGTTTTTTCTTTCCATTCCAGATTTATCTCATGCCACAGCAGGTGTAACATCACTTGTCTAACCAGAAGATCCGGGGAACCAAAGAATAGCTGTGCACAGTATTAAAACTATAAGTAATTTTTTTTTCTTTTTTTCTCTGAAGGTGACTGAAGTAGCTAAAGATATTCTGGAAAGCGGAGAAAAAATTCCTATAACACTGATTGGAAAACTATTGAAATTTCAGCTCCTTTGCTTCAAGCAGAAGGACCTTCAGAGAAGAGAAGCTGAAAAGAAGGTACAAGAGTATGCCTTAAGGTGGATGCCTAATTAACTTCTTCAAGGCACTTCCATTCAAGTGCTGTTTGCATAAATTCATCTTCCTCCTCATGCTTAAGTTTCTGTATCCATAATTGAAGAAATACCTAAATGAAAATGGCAGAGCTCAGAGGGTGGTGATCAGCGGTGCAGAGTCTAGTTGGAGGCCTGTAGCTAGCGGGGTCCCCCAGGGGTCAGTCCTTGGTCAAGTCCTGTTCAATTTATTCATCAATGACCTGGATGAAAGCACAGAGTGCTCCCTCAGCAAGTTTGCTGATGACACGAAACTGGGAGGAGTAGCCGATACCCCAGAGGGCTGCGCTGCCATCCAGAGGGACCTGGACAGACTGGACAACTGGGCGGTGAAAAACCTCATGAAATTCAACAAGGCCAAGTGCAAGGTTCTGCACCTGGGGAGGAATAACCCTAGACACCAGTATAGGCTGGGGACCAACCTTCTGGCGAGCAGCTCTGCGGAGAAAGACCTGGGTGTCATGGTGAACGACAAGTTGACCATGAGGCAGCAGTGTGCCCTCGTGGCCAAGAAGACCAAGGGGATGCTGGGGTGCATTAAGAAGAGCATCTCCAGCAGGTCGAGGGAGGTGATCCTGCCCCTCTACTCAGCCCTGGTGGGGCCACATCTGGAGTATTGTGTCCAGTTCTGGGCCCTACTGTACAAGAGGGATGTCGAACAGCTGGAGAGAGACCAGCGCAGAGCTGCAAGGATGATCAGGGGCCTGGAACCTCTGCCGTATGAGGAGAGGCTGAGGGAGCTGGGCCTGTTCAGCCTGGAGAAGAGAAGGCTGAGAGGAGACCTGATCATTGTATATAAGTACCTCAAGGGAGGGAGTGAGGAGGATGGTGCTGGCCTCTTTTCAGTGGTGGCCACTGATAGAACTAGAGGAAACGGCCAGAAACTGAAGCACCAAAAGTTCCACAGGAACTTAAGGAAAAATGTTTTAACAGTGAGGGTGGAAGAGCACTGGAACAGATTGCAAGAGAGGTTGTGGAGTCTCCTTCTCTGGAGATCTTCAAAATGCACTTGGACGCAGTCCTGTGCCATGTGCTCTAGGTGTCCCTACATGTGCAGAGAGGTTGGAATAGATGACCCCTAGAGGTCCCTTCCAACCTTAAGCATTCTATTATTCTATGATTCTATGAAATTTTCAGTTAATTAGATTTGGGGAAGAAACTCCCATTTACCCAAATACAGCACTTGAGAAAAGAAAAAAAAAATAAGAAAGAAAAATACTGTCCAGGCATGCTAGAATAATGAGATGAAATAATATCTTAGCTGACTGAAAACACCAGTAGAAAACATAGCTGGAAAATAGCTCCAGTGGAATATATATATCTGAATATACAATACTGAAGTTAATTGCAAAACTATTTAGCAGATGATAATGTAAACCACAGAAGCATATAAAGAATCTGAGGGAAAAGAATGTATTCTCAACCTGAGGAAGAATTGAAAGAATCAAGGTAAAGAGCAGATAGTTTATAATAGATGTGGAAACAATGGCTTTTCACTTAGATATCAGTCAATGCTGATAAGTAAACTGGAAAATAACATTTTAAAGTTTAAGGATTAGACACTTCATTATTAAAATGGAAATTGTATTTTGGCAAGATTACTGTTGTTGGTTTGGCAAGATTAATATAATTTTAACTATAATTTTATTTTGTTGGAGAATCAGAGGATAATCAACATCAAAAGCAGAAACATCTCTGAAATTTACATTTTCTTCTCAGTTTTCATCACACAGCCTGGACATTTCTTTTTTGCACTCATTGGTTTATATTTATATAATAGTGTGAGATGGAAACATAGCAGCAGTAGCTGCTGAAAGACAAAGGCGAACTCAAGAATTGGCAAGACTGTGGGTTATAAGGATGCAATGCTCTGCAGTAGAGAATGGAGAAAAACTGGGTTTTAATTTAGAACTCTAATTTTAAATTGTCTACAATAAAATATTTAATCTTTTCTGACTACCTTTACAGTACACATTCCATTGACAGTAACTCGAGGGTTGTAACAAGGAGATTGATTCTCAGAAAACTATCTGTCCATTGTTCTTTGAAATAGATACAGTTAATAGAACAGATTGGCAAAATAGAAACAGCAGCAGAAAAGTAAAATATAAACCATTATCATCTCTAAAATTTATTAATTTCTGTAAAAGCAGAAGCTTGTCACAGATTGACAAGTGTATACATGTAAATTAATATTCAGAAAAGTAGAAAGGCATGTGAAATGGAAAATTGTTTCGGATAGTACGATTGCATAATATATTGTTTAAAATAGCAAAACTGTAGAATATGAAACAAATGGAAGATAAAAAGCTCAACATTA